GGAGAAAAGGCAGAATGCTACGAGAAGGCTGCGACAGTGGATTGTGCACAAGTTGGGTATAAGCTAAATTTGGAGATGTATATGATAGGTTCCTTTTGTGAATGTGATTATATAGTTGAGGCATTTGGTTGATTACGAACTCGTGCCCGTTTCTGATAATTGTGCTTCGTTGGTAGGCTCATATATATGTTGAAAAGGGAGATATAAGCAAAGGCAGAATCAGTTTCAAGATATTTTGCTCGGGAGTTTCAGATTTATGACAGTAAAAATTACAATGCTTTTGTTGAAAAGATATTGTGTGGAAGGGAAAATGGCCAGGTCATTTGAACTGCAGAATAGGATGATGATGTTGGGTTTTGTTCCAAATAAAGAGCCTTGCAAGTATTTAATCCTTGGACCTTCAAGAAGTCGAAATTGTTCTCCATGCTTATAAGCTTAAATTCCATTTTTGATTGGGAGGATAACTTGAGCGTATAGTTCCATTTACTTTTTGAGTTCTCTGCGTCATCAATTTGCCCTTTGGGAATTCAAGTTTCTCCTATGCACTTGGGATATTCAATGTTCTACTACCATCAAAGGAGCTCTTAGGTAATTGTTAATATATATACACACACACGCGCACATGCACGTGCACACACACACAAACACACACACATATATTTATTAAAAGTTAAACCTCAGTCACGTTCTTTATTCTGTTTGTTAGTTTGTTACCTGATGAATGTACACATTTGTTCAAATTGTAAAATGCTCCAAATATAAGTCAAACAAGTCCAGTCACATTTAAAAAGAATACTATATCGTTAATATTTTGGGGGAAATACTTCACTCGCGTCTTTTATTTGCTTGTTTATGATGCAAATAGTCAAAAGCTCTAAATATACGTCAAACAATTGCCAGTACAGAACACTCCAGGAAGCTTCTTTTTGCGAGTGAAGCGACATGTTCTGATGACAATTACAGAAAAATCCTTAAGTTTTTCGAACACTAAACCATTTTTTTTCTTTTTTGAATCAGCAATTTTAAGTCAGTAAGACCAATAAAGATAATTAATGAGGAGAAACTTGTATTTTTTTTCACTCACTTTATCACTTGTTGACCATTTGAACAACTTTGAACTCTGGCCCTTTTGTCAAGTATTGTGCTTATGCGAATAATATTATATTAGCTTGAAGATGTATGAATTCTGTTTACAAGCTATGGCATAGGCATCTCTACTGAATTGAAACAGAAATTTTAGTTATTACAAAAAATGATCCAATTTGTTTTAGGGTGAGGCCTTAATAGTTTATCATAAGAGAAGTTGAACAGTATATATAGCATCTAACACATTGAACTCAGATGTTTCTATCAACTAAGTTGTTGAACGGAAGCAAACAACATACACAAGCTGGAAGAATTTTATGTGGTTTTCTCAACGGTGAAACTTAATGAGAGATATTTTACCTGTGAAAGAAAAGTATATCATGCAAATATCAGTCTTTAAATGCTTAGAAAATACCCCCAGGCATGAATATGAGTTTTATAGTGTTTTAAAGGGAAGGAAAGTCACGGACATATAAATAACTAGAAATAAAACGGTTGATGCCATTTATTAAAATACCTACCATATATTAATTACATCTTATGCAAAAATTATAATGACGTCTCTTTAAAACTCAAAGTATGATATATGTAATATAGTCAATTAAATTTTGTGCATGCGTGAAGCACGTCATCTGTTCTAGGTGGAGTTGTAGTTAGGGTTCTTGACAATTTCAAAAAAAAAAAAAAAAAAAATTTCTCTGATACTTCACAAAATTATGTCATCCACAAACACACCCAAAAATAAAATAAATAAATAAATAAAAACCTGTTCACACATCCAAACCCACCCACGCACAGAGACATTTATGGTTATCTTATCTTTCAGCATTTTGTTACGTTCTGAAAAGAGCTGAACTTATTTGTCAAGTTAATAATAAGAGTTCGAGGTAGTATTATTTATTGTAGGTGGAGATACAGGGAGAAGAACAATGACATGCATATATAGGATGAGACGAGTATTTAATGACTGTTGATAATAGTGTTAGTTGTGAGTTTTTAGTCCCACATTGGTTGTGAGAACACACTTCATCCTTCTCTACTTGTATAAATATATGTGCACACTCAATATTCAACTTAAAAAAAAATTTACCCAAGACTCTCTCTCTCTTACTTTGACATGGTATCAGAGCTAGGGTTATTATTTCCCTTCCAATAAATTTTTTTAACGCTTCTGCATTCTTTTGCCAAATCTTGGCCTTGCTGCTTTGCAGTCGTTTAACGCTTTTTTGTGTTCCTCTGCCAGATTTTTGGCCTTGCCGCTTTACGACCTCTTAACGCATATCGTGTTCTCGTTTAACCTTCGGGTTCCATTTTAATCTTCGGGGTTATATTTTAAACATTCGGGTTCTATTTTAACAGCATTACCGTTTTAAGATCATCTCTTGATCTCAAATTTACGGCAAAGTGGTTTTTCAAGACCGTCTCCCGGTCTCAAATTAACGACATTGCCGTTTCAAGCCGTCTCTCGGCCTCAAACAAACAACATTGCCGTTTCATAGTCAGTAACGACATCGTCGTTTCTGGGCTGAGGCCATTCTCACTGTTACTCATGCCATTATTATCAACACTATTATCAACGATGACATTCTTGAAAGCATAGAAACAATTCAATTTATCATGAATCTTTTTGTATGCTTAATTTCACTTACATCACTAGAAAGTTTCAAATTCAGCAAAGCACTTCCTAACACCATAAAAGAAATTTATATGGACAAGAAGTCATTATAATTAGAAAGAGAATTACATCACTGGCGACCTCCGTCTTGTACGCTAGCTCGTGCTAAACTGAAACGGCAACTGTTAGTTGTTATTGTTACCAAGGCGTTTCCTTCGCTAATGACTTTTGTTTTTTGACGCTTAGCGCATGACAGAGAGTTGAGGCGGTTACAAATGCCTCGTTGATATCGTGAACAATGTGACACTTGCTGTCATGCCGTATATATGTACTCCGTTCTTATCCGTTTCAAGCCCACTCTCTATTTCAATCCTAAAACTACTATTTCATTTGCAAGATGATATATGTCAGACCTTCTAAAGGTTTTAATATGTGTCCCATTTCAACTATCAAATTTTTTGTTTTTTTACTTTTTTTTCTTAGTTTTACAGTCGAAAGTGAATGGAACGCATATTATTGTTGCTGATTTTTGGGATTGGGTGGTATTGGAAAGAGGATTCTCACATTTTTAGTGGGCCCTCCCACTTGTGTCAGCGAAACTTTAGGTATGATGACATAAAATATTTATACAGTCACTCTTTCTCCATCTTTTTTTTTTTTAAATTTAGTGACGTGTTACACTTGTTTCCGGACTCTTATGTAAAAAAAAAAAAAGTGTCTAGAACGTTTGTTGCCGTCATAATGGCTCTGATCTGTTTTAGCTGAAAAAAGTAAGTGAGCGAGTTTTATGTCCAAACACCTTTCCTAAGAGTATCATTAAATTGATGCATGCACGTGTGCTTCCTGTAGAATTCTGAAGGTTATATGCTTGTCATGTTTCCAGTGTTTTCCTGGAATATTTTAATGTTGCTATTAGATAATATTTTTTTTCTTTTTATGATTTCTGATAATGCTATTTTTTAATGATTTCTGCTTCCCAGTATGTTGGTAATTTTGTTCTTTAGGTAATTTATTGACTATTGGATAGCTCATTTACATTGAAAAATGAGGCTTATTGTTAGTTTCATCTGTTAAATTGGAATTTTGTTTCTTCATGCGAAAAATTATCACATTGCTCCATATCTTTGAAGCAATTCCACGTTTTTTACTTGCACCGATACTGACCTTTTAGATAGAAACCCGATTATCTATTTAGAACATCCTTTTGTTCCACAGAAATATCCGTAAACATTACTACCTACATTTTCATCATGATTTTTTTTTGTAGTAAGACATTTTGTTACTCTTTGGGAAATTATTGGTTGTCATTTTATATTCTACTGCACAGACAATCTTTTTTTTTCTTTCACCGAAATGTCTTGCGTTAGATCTTAGATGACTATATACTTTTTTCTGAGAGGATTTATATTGTATTGAAATGAAATAAACTGTTTCTTTAGCAGAAGGGAACATAAATGTTTCTTCTTCTTTTTTTCTTTGGCAACTGGCAGTAATATAGTAGTTTATGCAATCTCTTCTCATGCTAGGAGATATAAACATTAGGAACATGGATTATGTGGGTGTTGTACTTCGAAACATTCTTCACTTTTTACTAGTCTTGATCTTTTCTTTTCTTATTATTTTTTCTTTTTTTTTCTTTTTTTCTTTTTTAACAGGGAAGACTCGTCTTGAGTTCCTCTTTTGTAGGGATGAAGGATATGAATTGTAGTTTCCTCAAGCTGCTGGATGTAGAAGAAACTTGTATTCCAGTGGTAGAGGAAGTACCCAGATATTCTTCACGAGAAATCGGGCAGAGGACCGAGGAACTTAAGATGGGAGTGTTCTATGTGCTCTGAGATCTGACTGGCACAAGTGACTAAATTGAATTGAGCAGAGGACCGAGGAACTTAAGATGGGAGTGTTCTGTGTGTTCTGAGCTCTGACTGGCACAAGTGACTTAATTGTATCTAGCTAAATACACACTGCATATACATATTTCTATATTTGCGGGAAAAAGTATGTGAAAAGAAGCAGAAGAATGACATTTAGTTTCGTGCTCTTTTTCTGCACATTGGAAAAGACCTGGAAATATGAAGGGATTGTGAATGAAAACACGGTGGGGTTTTTTTCTCGGATGACTTCTTTTTCTGTAACTCAGTTCCATGGGAAGTGATTATAAACCTGGCTTTGAGCTCTTGTTTGATTTCTTTTTTCTTTTTTTTTCTTCACCCCTGAATTAACCAAATCCAAAACGTATACTGACAGTAGATCGTCTCCAACTTGTACCAGTCATATATTTAAAAACATCAGAAATAATTACTTGAGCAATCAACAGTTTCCACAATTATATTCAGTTTAAACAGTAACAGTGAAATCTTTAGAATCCAGGGTACATCTCGGCCAAAGCAATCCAGATTACACAAATAAGCAACAAACAACAAAGATTCAAAGAGAGTATATACACAAAACGCAAAGCCAAGGCACAAACAAACAATCACCGACCAAACCAAACATTTTGAGGCTGGATCATCTCCCCTCCTCCATCGTTCATAAGCTTATCAAGCACCACATTAAGGTCCACTGACTGTCCATTCTCTGTCAGTTCCCTAACTGCCGCTCTCACCTGTTCTCTAGAAAACCCCATTGTTGCGACTTTGTCAACCACATCATCAATAGGAACCCTACCACTGCCTCCAACTGAGCTAGATCCTGTTGGCACTGCCTGAGGTAACATCTTCGCTGTAGGAAGACGAGAATAATTCCCACCAACTCCACCGCCCGAAGTGGGAGGAGAATTGGAGAATGGTGAAGGTTTCATTGAAGAGCTGTAGTGAGATGGGGATCCACTGTAAGGATAACTATCGGAGTAGCTAAAACCAGAAGATGGGGTACAGCCTGAAGGAAAGGGTAATTGGCTAGAGCCATAATATTGAGGGGATCCACTGGCTGGAGGTTGTTGAGATAAAGGAGTGGGCTGGCGTATATTTTGAGGGTAAGTCTGAGATTGCGGTGGCATATATGGGGCCGACTCTTCAGGGAGATGAGGCATTGGTGGAGGTGGGTTCAGAGGTTGTGATGGTGGCATTTGTTGCGAGTATTGTGGTAATTGGTAGTGTTGAGGTTGTGGTTGTGGTGGTGGCTGAGATAGAGGCTGAGGTTGAGGTTGAGGCTGTGGCTGAGGCTGCATTGTTTGAATCCCGGATGGAGGGAAATAAGGAGATTCTTGTGATAAAGATGGGAGGCGGGTAAGTTGGGGTTGAGGTAATTGGGCAGGGAATTGAGGAGGTGAGTTTTGGTGAGCTGGCGGGGGAGGCGGAGGAGCATTTGGGGCAGGGAAAGGAGCTGATTGTTGAGGTGGAGCTGCTGCAGGTGGGCTTGGTGCATATGAAGGCGGAGGTGGCGATGTTTGCTGCTGAATTTGAGTGTTTGGTTGCGCAGCAGTTACGGTTGATGATTCAGGTGCCCTGGAAGAAGATTGCTGTAGCTTTGCTAGCTGGAGTTGAGCCTCAACTATCTCATGTTTGTCACGGAGAACTTGAACACCTGTTTGAACCTGCACAGTTCAGCATATCTTTAATTTCAGAAAGAACAACAATGAAACGAATATGGGGAAATTATTGAATTATGGACAAATCAGAGAACGCGACAATGCACATCAATAAAGAGAAAATGAAGATGACAGAAAAGCGGAGGACAGCAGAAAGAGCTTTACGATGGGTAAAATATGCAGAGGTCACAGTGAGCGTTGATTCGTTCACGACCAACATCATTTGCGAATTATTTGAATTTTCAATAGATAGGAACATGAGCTTATAAGAAAAAAATGTAAGTGTCAGATGAGTTACAAAGAATTTAGCAGGAAATGGAAATCTTGTGCCACAAGTCCATGACTACATATATGCATTATGTAATCTATACCACCACTGCGTGTATATCTGACTTCACTTGTTCCCTTTCAATTAACGCATCTCCTTTACATTAAAAAAGTCAAACTTCAAAACTTCTAGTTACCATTGGAATAGCTAATATAAACGCACAACCAAGCAGATATGGCTCTCCACGCAAGCAGATGGTGAAAAAAATCCAACCAGATTGAAAAATCCATGGAGATCGAAAAAATACAAATTAAAAAAAGGAAAAACGAAAAGAAAAAGAAATAAAAAGAAAAGCTAATTAAATTTTACTCTCACTTAATGAGTACCTACAAAAACACACCTCTCTTAGAATATTCTCTAGATGCCTCAGCTTTCCCTCTGTGCTGCCATTGCTATTCCCCATTGTATCTTGCAAGTCATCTACGGAACCCTCAAGATGTCGTGTTCTACTCTCCAGCTGCGACAACCTTGAACTTACACCTTCCAACGTATGTAGCAGGTTATCAGCATATTTCTTCACAGTTCGATCAATTTCAGTCACTGTAGCCACATTGTATGCATCTCTATCCTTTTCATGGCTAATCTTTGGTACTTCATGAGGTTCTAGAATATTGGCATGCTGTAACAATGACAAGACAGAAGAAATTTAACTGATGCTCTGAAACCTGGAACTGAAGTATCAATAACTTATAATATATCATAAGAATAAAAATCACTTTGTTCAAATATGACGTAAACCACAAAAGAACAGAACAATATATGATTATGCATGTTTCTTGTAGATCAGGTTTCATATTAGAAAGCAGTGGTTGATGACTTCAAAAAGATCTCCGGAATATGGGAAAAATAAGTTCTTAAGCTCTTGCACTGAACTCCCAGTTCATACCTTTTGAATTGGAAAAGAAAATACTTTTCCTAAAAGTTCTCAACTTTGAAATTCAAAAAATGAATCAAGAATAAATAGATATCATATTTGAATTTTAAATTTAGGAGCAAAAAAGATGCTAAAATAATTGATGCTTGATATATCATATTTAGTTGTGACATATCCTAGGAAACTATGGCCCTCCGCATGCATCCAAATCATTCAACCATGTGCAGTTTGCATGACCATAACAATTGCGATATGCAGTATGATAACGTAACGTAGGAGGACCAGAATAATGAGGAAGATGTTTGCGGATGACAATTCCTTAGCTATTTTCTAGAAATTCACACGAAAATATTTTTCCATGACCTTTAAACCCTTTTTTTAAGTTATCACTTATCACAGAAAAAACTAACCCTTCAGTTTTATTTCACAAGTAGGTGATCCTCCTACTTCTATAAGTTCATGCCAAATCCAATGAGGGAACTTACTTAGAATTACAAATAAGTAGAGCATTTAGAGGCATATCATGGCCAAGTCATTAAACGGACCCTAAGCGCTAACTTTAGGTATTGTTTGTATTTAAATCCCACGATCTACTTTCCACAACAAACGAGGTTTGAATCTATTCCAACCTCACCACTGACTACCAAACAAAGAATATCATCATTTCTGCAACATCTTTTAATACTGAGACCAACAGCAGTTGCAGAGCAATAAAGAAATGAAATGTTATGAAAATGAACATGTTTATAAAACTTTTTCAAATTCAACAAATTTACAGGTGCAAGTTTCTAACTGTAACCTAGTCGAGCCGGGAAACTATCAGCCAATTTCTACTAACAAACAAATGCTAACAGTTTTTAAAAAGACATGGTCTGAGATTCTTCAACATCTTTGCGTCAAAAAATTTATGCTCGCAAACGAAAAATCAGAAAATCAAAATTCTTAAGACTTCAGTTAAATTATCCCAGTCAGCCTTCAAAATCATCACGGCTCCAACTAAATCACACCAAAACCCTAAATTTTCTTCAAAGATCAAATCAACGCAATCAATAACCAAAAATTAAATTTCCCCCAGTCTTATCAGAATCTTCTCTATAAACAAAGCAATAGTTGCAATAATCAATAAAGAGTTCCTGATTTTTCCCTTGATTTTGCAATCGGTACCTTGTGACTCATCGAAGCGATCTTAGAATCAGCAGATCCCCAAGAATTCCGCGTTCCTCGATCACGATTCGAGCTACTGTTATTACTGGCGGCTGATGCTGAGGATCCAATGCCCCTGATCGGTTGAAAATCGTAGCTCGGAAATATCTCCTCCTTCTTCAAGACGCCACCTCCATTGTTGCCGCCATGGCTCTCCTCCTCCTGTGGATTCATCAGATCGAAGAGCTCGCCACCGGTGGCTGATCCAGTTAGATCCATGATCTGCTTGTCCATGAACTGAGACGTCTTCATCCAAAATCTAATGAATAGTTCGAGGGAAATTTCGTCGAAATTGATCGAGGATCGTCGATGGAGATTTGGGGGTTTTCTTGGGAGCTAAGCCGTGAGTCTTTCGGTAGGCTTACTCGCGGGTTTGATATTTGTGCGTTAAAGTGTTTCTTTTGATTGGGTAAGCGGTTGGATTGATTCGATCCGATTATTTATGGGGTTAATTAAACAAGTAGAAAATTAGATAGAATTGGAAACTGGTTTAAAGGAAGTATTAGTCATTTTATCAGATGCATCAGTCAAGCATTTTGCCGACTCCACGTTTGGATGATGGAAGTATTAAAAGTAAAAAGCAGTTTTAAGGAGTAACTTTAAAAATTATGAAGGAGGAAGTAAAGAAGTATTATTATTTTTGTTTGTTTCGCATATATTTTGAAAGTAATAGAAGTAAGAATAATGATAGAGGCACACCATCGAACACACCCTCAGCCACACTCTCTCTTCTGCTACAGTGCAGGGGGGCTCGCATGAGCTTTTTTTAAAAATCTCATGCGGGCCCCCCTGCACTGTAACAGGAGAGGGAGTGTGGCTGAGGGTGTGTCCGGTGGTGTATCTGTAGCGCCTCCCTAGAAGTAATACTTCATTCTCTTCCTCCACTTTTCTTGTTTGAGACAACAAGTAAGATTATGGTTTATAAGTAACATAAAATATGTATCTTGAATTATAGTATAGTATTAATACCAGAATATTAAAATGCTAATATAATAATATTAAAGTTGCTGCTGATGTATCTAAAAATTATTGTAAATGATGAGTATTGAACATGCAAAGAAGAATATCTATGCACACATATCATGGATCATTTTAAAGCATTTACGAAACACAAAAATATCACACAAGAAATGAGAACCGTAAAGAAAAAAAAAGGTTAGCTCAAATAAAAGTTGGATATATACAAAAATGAAAGCTTATTTCTTATGTTAGTTTGCCTATATGCGCAATTTTATTCACATGTATAGAGGTTAGTATTAGGTTATGAAGATGTCCACAATTCAACACTCAGCTAAAATTTTTAACGCAAAAGAGATTGAGGTGCGTGTATTGGATTTGATGAAATTCTAAGATCCCTAATTTCATACTAATCTTATCTCCATGTGGACCCTATTGAAGAAATTGCTTATGACCAGAACAAATCACAAGGTGTGAGAACTGCTGAGGCGTGTAATCACTATCCTTAAGAAAATATTTTGCTCTTGTTGGTGCAAAAGGCTGCAGTGACGTCTTTTCTCACAGGAATCAAAGGCAGATAACAGGTTAAAGTGCACTCTAATAACATGTTCTACTGTTAAAGTAAGAGAGAGAGAATCTTGGGTAAATTTCCCTTGAATTGAATATTGAGTATGCACATATATTTATACAAGTAGAGAAGTGTGAGGTTTGTTCTCCCAAGCAATGTGGGACTAAAACCCACTACAATACACTATTATCAACAGCCCCCTTCAAACTCATGTTGGATCAAACAAAGTGAGTTTGCGTACAAGAAATTGGAACCGATGAATAGATAAGGCCTTTGTAAAGAAATCTGCAAGCTCGTTAGCGGATGAAACATGAGGAAGTAGAATTGTCTTGTCCTTGATAACTTGGTGACAGACAAAATGAGCGTCGATCTCAATATGTTTGGTCCTTTCATGAAATACTGGATTATTAGCAATCTGGATGGCACTCTTATTATCACAGTAGAGAGGAGTAGGAGTCGTAACAGAAATACCGAAATCACTGAGAAGGCGACGAAGATGAATAATCTCTTTAGCTGTTGTGGACATTGCACGATACTCTGCCTCAGTACTGGAAAGAGCAATAACATCTTGTTTCTTACTTCGCCAGGAAATAAGGGAATCACCAAGAAATATACAATAACCTGTGGTAGACTTTCTGGTAGTTGGATCACCAGCCCAATCAGCATCAGAATATGCACAAAGCTCTAACTTAGATGTAGCAGGAAACAAAAGAGAGCGAGTGCTAGTACCCCGGAGGTATCGAAGAATCCGTAATAAGACAGCATAGTGTACAGGACGTGGAGCACTAACAAATTGACTGACAATACCAAAATATCTGGCAGAAAAAAAACATTAAACGGCTGCAAAGCAATAAGGCCAAGATTTGGCAAAAGAACGCAGAAGCGTTAAAAAATTTTATTGGAAGGGAAATAGCCCTAGCTCTGATACCATGTTAAAGTAAGAGAGAGAGAATCTTGGGTAAATTTTCCTTGAATTGAATATTGAGTATGCACATATATTTATACAAGTAGAGAAGTATGAGGTTTGTTCTCCCAAGCAATGTGGGACTAAAACCCACTACAATACACTATTATCAACATCTACAAAGAACAATAAATATCTCTCTTTGACAGGAAGGAAGATAGAGCACAAATATTTTTCAGTGTTATCAACTGAGGAGATCAAGTCTCTATTTATAGATGAACCATGTTGGAGTACCAAATGTTAAACTACATTGGGAACATCAAAGGTTAAATCATGTTGGGAACATTAAAGATTGAAGAACATTGGGAACACCAAATGTTGAAAAATATTGAGAACACCAAAGGTTAAAAATAAATAACAAACATTTCTCTTTTGTGTATTTGAAATACACAACAAACCCTACAAAACAATTTTCCTACTTCTGAACTACTTCCGACCTACTTCCGAACCTTTTGGAGTGGAAAAAAAAAATATAGGAAGTAAATATGCCTCGTAGGCACCACATCAACATCGAAGGCAATAGCGAAAGTTGCACTTTTATGGAAACTAGTTGAAATGCACGTGCAATGCACGTGGTAAATTTTTTAATTTATTATTTTATTATTGACTCATTTCGTTAAGATTTATTTAATTTAAACCATGTATCAAACATAGTAATAGAATTTTAAAATTCAAAAGGATTGAATAATAAAATTACATTTATGTATCAACTGGGTGATAATAGATTGTTTGCATCCTTAACAATAGAAAACAATGAATAATTTTATAAAAGAATTTTATTTGATATACACCATTGAGTTTCAATCAACCAGTGCTACCTATATACAGATGACAGTAGATCACCTATTTAATCATAATCATCCAATATAAATGTTACTAAAATAGTAGCATCACTTTTTTCTGTAGTATTACTTATTTCTATCTCCTCAAAACAATTAATAGTCATGCAACAAATAGCAGAGATACTATAAATATCTCTCTTTATCATTGGATATTTTGAGCTTTAATGGTTCCAAATTTCTTTCAAGCGGTAAGCTACTTATGCCTATTAGAAGCGTGAGATTTTCTGATTACATGTCTCTAAAATTCATCGAATCAAAGTAAATCGCAAGATGATAAAAAAATGCAAAGGTAGTATAGAGCAAGAATTTTTGAGATAGCAAAGAACCAAAGAATCATACTATTAAAACAACAGTTCTATCATTGATAAAATCAATTGCAGATGAAACCATAGGAGCAAAACCATGATAGTATAACTAAAAAGAATCATATTTGTCTTTACAGATATGAATGAGCTTTAATTGATATTTTCCTGTGACATGTTATGAATAAAAAGATATTGAACAACATATCATCTCCTTAGCAGAAACCATATAAAAACTTAATTGTCCTGTTATCCTCCAAAGTACTTTGTCTCAGTGATCAGCGTAGTTGCTTCCACGCAGTTACACAATAATTATAGTGAAGCAACCTTAGGCTTACCGTAGATTGAGATCTGAAATAAAAGATAATAAATAAATAAAATCTAACACTTACAATCATCAATCAATGCTTGAAGGTGACATAGATCAGGCTGAAACTCTAGAAGAGAATGAAGCACAAAATTTCCAATTAGATGGATAATCAAAATCTGTAACTATTCAATATTGGAAGTCAAGGGCATAAAATAAAATTAAAATCTAATAATTTGGACAATGAGTATTGTACTTTAGTTTATTTAGATTTAAACACTAACATTTGAAGTTGTAAAATATGCGATGAACCTGAGTGTATTAAAAAAAAGAACTGAATGTAAGTGGGGGGCTCTATACCAAGCTCATATTGTGAGCTGAACATAATCTTCACTCTAAAACTTATCGTACTGACCTGACTTGAATCTTGCCTTCGTCTTCTCAGGTTTACTGGTCAATAGCCTTTTTATTGAATTTGCTCTTTTTTCTAGAATTATGACACAGAACCTCATGGATGAATTGCTAACAATTATTTGATATTCTTTAAGATAATTGTTTATCCATTGTAGATTTCATATTCATCAGTTAATTTTTATAATCCTCAAACTTGAACATGATCAGGTGGTAAAAAGAGTCCTATCAACTCATCTATAAAGATGTCTTAAACTTCACGATAAGCATATCGACCCTATCTATACCTTGCTTCAGGGCGATAAATAAATGTAGAAGTTGATTTAGTTCCTGAAGATGGTTGTACAGGTCAACTATGAAAATATATTAAACAATGATTCAGTTATCATTCACTTAAAGAATGTATACTTACATGTTGCTTGCTTCAGAAAAAAAAAACATGAGAAAAATAAGGTCTATTTTGGAATATGTTATATGATTCAATCATAAAAAATGATAGTAGACTTACTGACTTGATTAATATATGACTTATCAAGAGGCTAAAAACAATGACATATAGAACTATTGACTCACCAAAGCTTCTTTTGAATCATTTGCTACGCGATTTATTTTTAGTAAGTTGCCTGCATTTACGGCTTGTCTCGATGCACGGTGACGAGAAGGCTCTGCTAAGCAACCACTTGTTCTCCCTTCTTTACCACCGAAATTAAAGTTTTCAAGTACGAAAATTAGTAATTGCTAGTCAGGAAAAGGTATTTTTGGCAGTAGTTAATAAAAATGAAGATATTATAAACACATTTTATCTATATTAGGTCTATGAACAAATGACCGTGTTAATGAAACACAATAAATGATAGGCACAGAAGACCTTTGTTTGGAAATAGATAAAACATGTATGGGAGCAAGCATGAAAGAGGAAATTTTTTAATAAAAATGAAAGTGAAATAGGATGTATTCTATGATGTTAACAGATGTAACAAACTTAACAGAAGACTCACAAAGGAACAACTAGCAAAATTAACTACCAAAATTAACTACCAAATTGCCTATTGACATTACCAAGAGTTGGCACCAACCCAGAGAAAGGTCCTACTCCAGAACCCTATATATAAGATTAAAATTGAGCAAGGTGTTGCCATGATAGAGAAAAAGAAACCAAAACAAATGAAAACCTATCTGCAAGAAATTAAGCCTGTATATGCAAGACTTATAAGAGGTCGTGGAGGAGTGCTAGCAATTTGTGATTGATGATACTTCAATATGGTCCAATCAAACACATAATCAAATAGAAATGCTATAGATTAAGATTCAACATCATTCCACATCTTGATTGAGAATTACATATATCTAAACCTGCCATTGGCACAAAATTCCTCGTCAACATGAATAATGAGTTACCAGAATATCTTTTCCTCGCGAATAAAAAGGTCACAAAATACTCTTTTAAGTTATGAATAATCAGGTTTGGCGTCAAAACATAGTGAACGGCAGTAGTGAAAGTTGGATGCAAATTATGTAGGATATTCACGACGTAATGCTTGAAGATAATATATCAATATTGTCATGATTAAAAATTTATATATCTATTTAATACTATTAAGAAAAGTAAGAAAAGATATCGTCAAGGCTCTCAACTTCATTATGTGAATTAGATCTTACCTCTATTGAGATGGTAACTTTTCTTTCACTAATTTTTTTATATTTCTATTTCTTTGTTCCAAGTTTTAGACCTTGCCAGGGAAGACTGCAAACAACAAGATAAACAAAATTTTGTTACACCATACTATGGACAAAGCTACTAAAAATGGAGTTGAGATAGACACCAGACCTTTCTCGTAAAAAATTTGTGAGAACAAACCCAAGAGATTCCAGATCATCCCTCCTGCTTTGTTCTTAAGATTCCAATGTACATAAGTCAAGCATATAAAATATGTTAAGTATTCGCCAACCTCATCAAGGTGTAAAAGAAAACTAAAATATGTTAGGAAGTGTTTTAAGAAATTAATATGAGAATACATACATATACCAAGGTGGATGTTCATGCTTACATACCTCGCAGTCCTAGTCAAGTTCTTATTCTCTCTACAACAAATGAATTTAGGTAAACAAACACTTGCATAAAGGCACATGTACAAGCTTTTTTTGAGTAGAAATATACAGTCAATCCATAAAATGTACACAAAAGCACAGAAAGCAATTTGGTATTGTTTCAAATATATGTGGCACATACCTGCTCAGGAGTTTTTTCATGATACCGATTTTGAGATACACCTTGCGCAAGTAGCTTCTTCACCCTACCACCTGTATAAAGTTCAGACAGGCACCCATGCGCTTATGCAATAAGACCCGTCCTCAAGGCACATAAACTAAGTTGTGTCATTGCCATGTTGAATAGAATCTGAGAGGATATGTCCATAACTTGAATCCCTTTTGGAAAATGACTCATCAACAAAAGTTTGCGTGCAGTCAAGATCACAAAAAATAGTTAATATGCATTTTAAAAGTAATAAAGTCAAGTATTCTCTGAATATGTATTTAGATTCAAATAATTGATGGATAAATGTAAGCTGAAGAAAAACTCATTCAGTTCAATATGATAGATTTAAAATGATATGCAAAGGATAATTACTAAGGAAGAGACGTTAATATAATAAATCAGTTATATTAGCTTGAGTGAAGGAAAAAATTAGCAATAAATGTGGCACGTACCTGCTCAGGAGTTTTTTCATGAATCCAATTTTGAGATACACCTTGCGCAAGTAGCTTCTTTACCCTACCACATGTATAAAGTTCAGACAGGTACCCATGCGCTTCTGCAATAAGACCCGTCCTCAAAGGACATAAACTAAGGTGTGTCATTGCCCTGTTGAATAGAATCTGAGAGGATATATCCATGTGCTGAATCCCTTCTTGCAAATGACTTATCAACAAAAGTTTGCGTGCAGTCGAGATCACAAAAAAATAGTTCATATGCATTTTAAAAGTAATAAGCCAAGTATTCTCTGAATATGTATTTAGATACATGGGGATGCTGAAAGACTTGTATAGCTTCAGTTTATCAGTAAAGAGAAACATTTCTGCTAGTGCCAGCTAAAAAGAATATTGATATCTATACAGTGATTTTAAATTTAAAGTTATAGGGGAAAAACAGAAGGAACTTCTAAAATATTTAACTTGCCAATAAAAGTTTCAATCTACTTTGAAGTCATGGGTTCTTCTGCTTGTATTTCTACCATACATATCCAAACTTCCACTTTTACAAGCCAGCTTAGTTTCATATGTCAAACCTCACTTTAAGTTCAGCATGCAGAAAACTTCACAGCCTTCCACTGTCTACTACTGAGATATCTACTTTCCTACACCCAGAAACCCTAAACCCCCAAATTGTTGTACCAAAACCAAAACCACTTCAATTTCAATAAATTAACACACGAAATTTCATCATTTAAAGTAAATTCAATACTCACTTGCATCCATTAGCAGTAGGACAAACAAATTCATCCCCAATGGGATGGACCGCAAACCCTAACGGGTCCCCGCTAATTGCAAAACAAAAAATCAAGCGACAAATGAGAAAAAAACCATGGGATCATCGGAGATTGAGGTCTTGGCATTGAAAGAAAAGATCTCGATCATGAACGGAGATGTGAAATTCTTCGACCTCCTGTAGATCACCAGAAGGTGGTTCTCTGGCCTCCGAATCCATGCAGCGCACGTGACCGGCCCTGGGTTAGTCGTGGCTTCGTGATCCTTCCTGATGCTTAAAATCTGAAATTTGAGGAGAAGATGAAAGAGAAGGTTTGGTGATGATAAGGATAAGAATAAGCTTCTTGATGATGATAATAATCATCTTTACAATTTGATAACCGACAATTGATAATGCAGAGAGAGTGAGACTGCGTTGCTGGAGGAATTTCATAACAGATGGAATGGAGAAGGAAAGGAGCGAAGATTTAAGGCTTTACGTTTTCTGAGTTGTGAGTAACGAAAAAAGAATGATTAACTTTGTTAAATTAATGAAAGATGAGGGTATTTTGGGGTAGAGACAGTATTCCAGATGTTTTGCCATTTGGAACCCAAGGTAATTTCAATAGAATCCTGACATGAGGAATTCAAATCAATCAACTTAAAACTGAAAAGAATGAAGACTTGTTAACTAGTTAGATTATTCATTGTCCGATAGATGTTCTAAAGTGACAAATACATTTTCTGCTGGTTATTATGTATTTACACAAATTTATTGTATTCGACCAAAAATGGTTGAATAGTCCATGAATTGACAAATCTTACATGTTTAATGTTAAGGCTTTTACATATATATAATATATATCCCTTAAATCTTCTCTATTCTAAAAAATACTCCACAAAAAAATCTATCACATGATTAGTATTAAGGGTCAGTAAGGGAATAGAGAGGGTTAATTATGCAAACATGGCGAAAGAAAGTCATTTTGATTATGCCTCTTAGCTAGAAACAGCAAGAGAGGGTTAATTATGCAAACATGGCGAAAGAAAGTCATTTTGATTATGCCTCTTAGCTAGAAACAGCAAAGCATGTCCTGTCTATTCTCAACACATAAAGAAAGTCATTTTGATTATGCCTCTTAGCTAGAAACAGCAAAGCATGTCCTGTCTATTCTCAACACATAAACAAAGAAGGGTAAAAAGTAGGCCGTACACAAACTGGGCCTAATATAATGGTCTAGGAGCCATTTCTTGAATATGAAAGAATTAAGGATTAATATCCACACAACAACAACAATAATAATAGTCCGATTCAATTAACACCCTTCCAATCAATTCATTAGGATTTAATCTCAAGGGTCCCTGGTTGGCCTGATGCAGTTTAAATCTAAATAAATAAATTTCTTCCATTAGTTGTCAACAGAACATTCTACATAAAAATAAAGAACCTAATACAAGATATGTGACTATCGTTAGAAGTTTCATCATAAAGACAGAGGACCTAAGTAGCTGCCCAAAAGAGAGAATAAGTTCTTCAACATAAGTAGCACAAGGAGAGAAGAAGTTCTTCAACGGATAGAACAAGCTATAGAAACTATCATGAGATTTAAGTAGAACAGACATCCAGATAAAGATATAAAAATTTTCACACTACAAAGGAAACTTTGAAGCACTTCCCGAGGTGAAGAAATAAGGAGATAAAAGATATAAAATTTTAGTAGAATAGACATCCATATAAAGATATAAAAATTTTCTTGTTCTTCAACGAATAGAACAAGAAAATGAGGCGAGAACCCGCAGTGAAGAAATAAGGAGATCTTTCTATATTGGCATATCAGTTGGGAAAATCATAGGCAAATTCCTACCGTTCAGAATGTGGAGAAGAACCAAAACGGAATGGTTCCACCTACACAAAACTCGAATTTTGCACGAGTTACATAACCCTTATTTTTCTTTTTTGCGATTCTGGTGGGTCTGTCTTTTTTCCTTATTACGACCAATCCCCAAATTATGCATTCTTAGATGGAACCAAAAATGTAAAAGAGATTTCATTGACAGTATTCCAGAGAAATAATGAAAACTGAAAATGTATGGAAATATTTGAACGGTGATGTGTACACATCATAGGCTCATAAAACCCATCTGGGGTGATCTGAGGATAGAAAAGATGTGAATGCATACCTGTCTCCTTAATTGTCTCAAAGTCTTCACCAGGAGTTCAGTATTTCTGTGAACGCCAATCCAGCAACCATTAACAAAGATCTTAGTTGCTTGAGGAATAACAGCTGGAGATATTTCCTGCGAAGAGGCAAAAGAAATGCAAACTTCAGTAGACTAAAACCTGCGACAAGAAGACACCCTTTAACCGCCAACAAGATACCATTTTGAGCAACTACAAGCATATAAAAGATCCAGCTCACATTCACAAGGAATAAAAAATGCATATCTCAAAGTTTTCTGTACTCCACTCCTCCAAAAACTCCAAAATTGGATGCGCAGCTGATCCTATTGTTATGTATACCATCAGAGCAAGGTTCTTCACCAATCCACAAGCCTGACAAACATACAACATTCAAATGTTAGCATAAAAAATGGGGATGCTAAAATACTTGTATAGCTTCAGTTTACCAGTAAAGAGAAACATCTCCGCTAGTGTCAGCTAAAAAGAATATTGATAACTATGCAGTGATTTTAAATTTAAAGTTATAGGGGAAAAACAGAAGGAACTTCTAAAATATTTAACTTGCCAATAAAAGTTTCAATCTACTTTGAAGTCATGGATTCTTCAGCTTGTATTTCTACCATACAGATCCAAACTTCCACTTTTACAAGCCAGCTTAGTTTCATATGTCAAACCTCACTTTAAGTTCAGCATGCAGAAAACTTCACAACCTTCCACTGTCTACTGAGATATCTACTTTCCTACACCCAGAAACCCTAAACCCCCAAATTGTTGTACCAAAACCAAAATCACTTCAATTTCAATAAATTAACATGCGAAATTCCATCTTTTAAAGTAAATTCAATACTCACTTGCATCCATTAGCAGTAGAACAAACAAATTCATCCCCACTGGGTGGACCGCAAACCCTAGCGGGTCCCCGCTAATTGCAAACCTAGACTGCACCAATAAAAAAATCCAGTGATCAAAGATCTCAATTACTAAACCCTAACAAATAATCAAGCGATAGAAGAGAAAAAAACATGGGATCATCGGAGATTGAGGAGTTCTTGGCATCGAAAGAGAAGATATGTATAACTTGAAAATTCAAGCAATAATCAGCAATAACAGGCTAAAAATCTTCTCTTTTTACCAAATTCAACAGATGAAAACCGCAAAAAGCGAGTTTTTGAAGGTAGAAATAGCTTACAGGCAGACAAAGCACTGGAAATATGAAGGATGGAACTCGTCGCCGGCTAGGGTTTGTTCGTGATCATAACCGATGCCCAAAATTTGAGAAGTGAGGAGATGATGGCAGAGGGGGTGCGGTGATGATGAGGATTTAAGAAAGTGGGATGGCGTTGCCGGAGGAGAAGCGTAACTGAAGGTGGCTGCTAGAGGGAATTCTTAACCGACGGAGGGGGAAATGAAAGGAAGAAGGCTTTTAGGCTGCCGATTTATTAACTCTGTGAAACGATAAAAATGTAAAAATTTGTTATATTTACAATAGTTGAAGGTTATTTTGGGGAAGAGGAAGTTTTTCAAGAACTCCCTCTTTTAAAGGGTAGATAGATAGATAGATAAACATATATTTTTCTTCAGATGTAACAGAAGTAAATGGAAATTTTATTTACTTGATAAATTCGTGCAAATTTAAAAGCCGATGGATGTTTATATTTGTTAAGCTTTGAGAGGTAAGCAGGCAGTTAAATCCGTTAAGACTGAGAAACGCGGCTTATTATGGGCCTATGCTTTTGAGTAAATATGATTATGGGCCAAAATGCTAATTATGAGCCGAAGTTATTCTTCGTAAAATGGACTGATTATTCTAGTACTCTCAAGTCCCTCAGGTCCTTTTCGCAGAGGTTTTAAAACAAGAATTCAATCAAACTAGAGTAAGTAGATTGATATAGATTTATTTCGTTAAGAGTTAGATTAATTCTTTGTGTTTTTCTTTGTGCACAAGACTATGATATGTTATTCTTGATCAACGTACAGAATCAGATCAATAATCCCTTATATTTGTACTTAACTCATTTTTAAACAGTTTAGCCTTTCAATTCTAGTCGATCAAGATCGAAGACTGTTCAAGTTTTGATTACTCACCGTTTTTTACCCTCAGAAAAGACTTCTCTAATGTAAATGGTTTAAAATATGAATTTGATGATTATGAGTTGACAGCTCACTTGGCAAAATGAGCTATTGATAGATAGAATGGTGAAGTCCGCATACTTTGATGTGATAAAAAAGGTTGACCTCATTACTAATTTGTCTCTTGACAGCTTATCTATAATATATATACTAATTGGAATGCACGTGCAATGCACGTGGTAAAGTTTTCATTTTTTGTTTTAAATTTATACTTTTATTTATAATGTTTTGTTATAAAATTATGGAATGTAAGTAATGGATAAAACATATAGACATAATCTAAACATTCAACATTTGAACAATTAAATTATATTTATTGATTGATTGGGGGGCCAATGCAAATTTGTAAGCTGGTTAAAGGCTCACATTAATTTATCATAAGTGAATTATCGTTGCAGAAAACAATACCGATTAGATTTAAATTAAATTGAACACATTTGACCGTTCGAGAGAAACTTATAAGAATGTAAAAGAATTACAAGTTAAGAAGGCAAACAGCCATCATCTACCAACAATGCACTGTTTTCCTCTGTATTTATGCAGTTCCTTTCACTGTGATGTAAGCGTCCAAACATTATACATGCATTATCAGTCATGCTCTCAGTACAAATGTTTCACTCGATGACTCACTAAAGCTACTAAACTGAATGATTAATGTTACATTTGAGACGAGTAATACAATGTTAGAGATTAGCCGCCGCTTTCTTCAAGAATGGGCTGTCTTCAATAGTATCTTGAAAGTCTGCTTTCCAGAAGATAGTCCGAAAGCCCAAGCATGCGGCCAAGCCAATTGAGCCCTTGCTGCACCTTCTGAGTTTTGAGGAAATGAATCTATAAGTTGTCCTTCAATTCATCAGGGAGATGCAATTTCTCCATTGCAGACTGAAATTTATATATAAATGTTAATAGGTCATAAATAAAAAAGCACAACAAATACAGGCATTTAATGATGAATAATTAATTCCTTGAATAGCTTACTGCCTTAGTTTCATTGTTTCTACAGTAGAATGTATTTTATAAACCCCATAATTGGCTTAATCATGTGTCCATAATTGGCTAAAATGTCCAGAATCATACTCTATCACCCCCTTATTAGTTGTAAATGAGAGAATTCTACATCATGGCTCTTTGAAGTTAAGGGGGTAAGCTCAAAAATGATTATTAATTGTTTGCAATTTTTAGTCTTTTTGGTAGTAAATGAGAGTCTTCTACATCATGGCTCTTCGAAGTTAAGGGGGAAAACTAAAAAATAATTGCTAATTGTAGAAAGGGTGAAGAAGGTTTAGCGGCGGCCTATACAATTTAAGCCTTGCTTCTTCTTCTTCTTCTTCTTCTTCTTATTCTTCTTTTATTTTTTTGTGCTTTATTTGGTTTTTTTCTGTAAAGTATTATGATGACTGATGTTCAGGTGATGCTTTTGTTTGAAGGCTTCAAAATTCCATGTCTAAATTAAGGGGGAACTATCAACTGTTATATCCTAGCTTGTGGTGAGTGACGACGACAATGTGTTCGCTCCCCATCCTGTTATAACTGTTATATAAACTTTTGGATATGGGACTTTTTAAGTTCTGTTCGCATCACTCTTTTAAATTTTTTATATTTTAATATATTTTCAATGAATAGGTCACTTTGTGTTCTTTTTCTCTTAAAAAAAAGACGAGAAGATGATTAAATCCATATTAAACCCTATAGTTTTTATCTAACTTGGACTTGAAAATAGTTTAGTCCATACAAGTACGTGAATAAATTTAAAACTTAATAGATCTCAACATTTCAGATAACCTTAGGCATCTGAAATAAGAAAGGGAAATAATAAAGGGAAAGGACAGACCATACAGAAAAATCTGAATGCAGTACCTTGATAGCAGCAACATCAGCTGCTGGAGGCTTCAGGTCCAATGCAATACCAAAGTAGAACATGTCCTTAGCATGCATATTAAGCCTCTTGTGAATCTTCCCCATCAACGCGTAGATGCTGCTCTCACATGGAGTGAAGTCCTTAACCTGCTCCAAATGCTTCAATGTCCTATATAAATATCATAGGACAAAGCTCCAATATAACAAAGAACCAATATATGGTTGGATATTTTCTTCATAATTAACTAAAGTAACAATGTTCAGGTAAATTACTTATAAACATTAGCACTTTCAATATTAAGTTTTGTACTGGTAAATCATGTTCCGGAATGCATAAAAAAGAGTATCACCAAAAGAAATCAATACATTTATGACAACCAAATTCCAAGGTTACTAATTTGGTCCACAGTGATCAATTTTATTGAACAAATAATCTTTAATTGTAGCTGTACTCATAGTTTGTCCACATATTATCTAAATTATCAAACAAATATGTGCACTGGATATCAATCGGAAACTGTCCATGTATAAGTCCTATATATTTTAATCTACAAACTCCATAGAAGCCTCAAGACTATTTGAGTGGTACTTGAACCCATCAAAATGTTAAAATGCAATTTGCTACGAGTATTCACTTTGGAAAAAACAATGGTGTCTTGTCACCGCAGACATGCATGTTATTCAGATCTGTCATCACTATTTCATATATAATACATGGCTTACCTGATGAATCTGACGAAGGAGTAATATGAAGACTTGAAGCAAGCCCTAATTCGGACAATCCTTGACCTATTGTTGAATTAGAACAAAAGGAGATGATGGCTAATTAGAACAAAATTAAATGAAGAGCAAAAAAGTAAAATCATTCTTACCGATTACAAAATTCTGACAACTGAGGAGATGATGGTGGAGGCGCAGAGTTGATGATTAGGGCAATAACAATCATTGTAGGCTGTCTAAAAATCACAATAGATAGCTGATCCAAATATGCTCTGACAATGGAGGTCACACGACTTCCCAATCACTGCATCCGCAACTCCACAATCGCCACAAACACGACCTCACTTCTGAGATGATTGATCTTGATGGCTGCGACAACAGCATGAATAGTATTATTAGCAACTATTGGAGATGCTGATGAGCAGTGTAATGATTTTAGAAATGAAAGGTCGGACTTAGGTGGTGAGTTGCTTAGTAGAGAGCTGTGGGCAAATATTCGTCTTCAAGACACTATGGATGTTGATTCCCGTCAAGCTCTCACAACGAAAGCTATAATCAAATAGCTTTCGCGCCGACAATCGAAACATACAATCAAATAGTTGCTTGGTAGAGAGCTGTTGGCAAATATTCATCTTCAAGACACTATGGATGTTGATTCCCGTCAAGCTCTCTCAATGAAAGCTACAATGGGCAAATATTCATCTTCAAGACACTATGGATGTTGATTCCCGTCAAGCTCTCTCAATGAAAGCTACAATCAAATAGCTTTCGGGTCGACAATCGAAAGCGGCAAATAGAGTACTTTTCACATAGATCGAGAAGAGTTACAATTCAACGACACTTCCGACAACTGATGAAAATTCTATTCAGCAGTCTTCACGTTCTACAGTGAAAGTTACAATCTGACAACTTTCATACCCTACAATAGCTAAAGCCAGGATTACTAAACAACGGTCCTCGCAACGCTTCACAGAAGAAGCTACAAGTCAAAAAGCTCCTTCTGAAACGCGGATGTCATCCCCGCGTTACAAATATGGAAAGGCAGGCGACCCCCGCGTCTCCAAGGCACAAGCCAAACGTGAGCGACCCTCGCGTTCATAGGGGTTCAACCAACACTGACCCCCGCGTTTCCAAGCAGGCAACAAGCTAAACGCGAGTGACCCTCGCGTTCAATGGTGTTCAGCTAACACCCAACCTCGCGTCTCAATCCTAAGACACGAAGTTGGGTTCTGAACGCCAGAATGGGCGTTTGACTCGTTCAAACATGAGTTGAACGGCTCCAAAACCGTTTATCCCACGTTCTGAGGGATGTTCGCCCACATAGGAGCGGATATAGGGGTCAGTTACAACCTCCTACCCCCCTATAAAAGCTCAACGAACCCAACAGAGCAAGAGGTTGGATTTTTAGCATCTGAACCGCACAGGTTGGATTTCAGAGAATCTAAACCGCACAGGTTGGAGATTTTTCCAGTTATCAAAACCAAAGGCTGGCTTTTTGAACGAAAGAGAGGCAGCAGATTGGATTTGGAGGATCTCAACCACTCCGGTTCGGTGATTCAACAACAGCAGCAGTAAAATCCTTGGAGATAGGATTTTCGAATCAAATTCAGAAGATCAAATCTGAGAGGATTCTTCAACAACAGAATAACAGCTTGATCATTAACCGAATTTTCGGTTCTAACAACTCTATTCACAGAGTTCTAACTCGTTCAGAGTTCTTAAACT